AGCCGACAAGAAGCCCCATGACAGCGAGCGAGGACACGCAGGGGGAGGAGCTGGCCCGGCCCCGCCCCGCCCCGCCCCGCGCCGCGCTCGGGACTGGGCCGCGGGTGCCTGCGGGGCGGGTTGTGCAGGACCCTGGTCTGTAGCAGGATGGTTGAGGCTGTGGGTGCTCTGGCTTGGGGGATCCGAGATGGAGGTGCCCCGAGGGCCAGGGCGGAGGCGCAGTGCCCCCGCAGCAGGCGCTGGGGGACTGCTGTGCTGTGCTGTGCTGTGCTGTGCTGTGGGGCCTCGGGCAGGATTCAGCTGCAGGAGCCCGGGGGTGGGAGAGGGGCAAGCTTCACAGTGTTCCCCCTGTGGGGGCTTCTCCCAACAGCGCCAGGGCCTCCTGCCTTCAGCCCAGAGTGTGGGGGCACCTAGTCCCCCCTGAATCATGCACTGGGTGAACCCCCCCCCCCCTTCCTCTTGCTAGTTTTAGCGTTGCCAACCCTCCAGGGTTACAGGAATTACAGATAAATCTCCAGGAGACAGCTGAGAGTCACCCCGGAGATAAATGATAGGGCATTCATTAAAATAAATATTACGTATTGAACCTGATGTATGCAGCTGTCCAGTGGGTTTTTAAAAGGTAATATGTGGATTTGCCTTCCCAACGTAAAGTCATTCACGTCATTACATTAGTGATGACACCTCCCGGGATAGATTCAAACAGAGTTGGCAGCCCTAGCTAGTTTTAAACTTATGACTTTCTCATTTCATTCTGTGACCCCTAGGTCTAGTTTCAGACTTCCTAAAGTCAGGGAACCCTTTCATATCGCTTCTGCTGCAGAACCGCTACCCTCGGCCCCTTGGCTCCAAGGACCATGCGAGCTGACAGAGAGCCAGCTGGCCTGGGCCTGCCGTGGCTGCACACTGCCTCCCGGCACCCTCCACCATTACCCCGTCTCTGCAGACCCCCGACAACCTGTCTCAGAGCCCCTGGGTTCCACAGAGCACCATTCAAAACCCACCAGTGTCAGGCCAGGTCACCTGACAAAGTGGGCTTCGTGCCCTCTGTGATCTGGCACCCAGGATACGGGAGAAGGGGGAGAGACATCAGGGAGGTTTAATGGGGTAGGGCTGCCAGCTGGGTGAATACATGGGTGCCATCTCACAGTCCCTGCCCCTGCCACTGGGCCCAGGAACCAACTGTCATGAGCTGATGGGAGTCTCAGTGCCCATGAACCCTAACCATCATGTGAACAGGGGGAGATTCTCTCAACCTTTCTGAAGATAGGGTGACCCTAGCCTGCTGATTGGAAGGGGATGTGTGCACCCTAATCTGATGGACATCTAAGTGTGCATTAGGAGTTACATTTCTCTGTCTGTTTTTATCCTAGAACAGACAAGAGCCCATGCCCAGGTCACACTCAGGAGCCAGAACTATCTGGGTAAAGCACTTCTCTGGGCATGAATGCACAAGCAGTGGTCAAAGACCAACAGATCAGGAGTCAAAGCATTAGTGAAATGGGAAAGGACTATCAGAGTGTCCCTACAGTGTGATAAGTATTGTCTGCATTGAGTTAAGATAAATGCATAGCCCTTTTCCAATCCGTAGGCTTTTCCCTAAAAGGAGTGCACTGTATATTTCTAATACATATCCTCTAGTTTAGCTAATTACAACATCGGTATAGTAACCCCTGGGTGAATTCTGCAGCTGTATTATGAAGGAGATCAGATTAAGCAGTCACAAAAAGATGGCCTGTTTTATTTGCTCTTCAAACAAAGCTCTTGATTGTACATTGATTCCCTTGCAGGATTCAAAACTGAAGAAAGCCAGAACAAAAACCAGGTTTCATATTTACATGTTTATTATTGAATATTACTACATTGGGCCAACTTTCTAAAAGATGGAAAGTAAATAACAATGATAACCAATAAGGCACTAATCTGTCATGCCCACATTTACATTTCCCCCTTCGTCTTTCTTTCTTATCACTGAGGAAGCAAAAGGCTGTCATTTGCAACACAAGTGTTTCGCCTTGCCTGTTTGGGAGTGTCAGGGACAACAAGGGTATGCAGAAAGCCTGACTAATTTGCTATTCAACGTTCAGTTTCAGGTAAACTCTGAAAAGTGAAAAAATGTGGCGGTGGGGAAAGCTGGACAGTGCTGTCAGGAGATTTTGGAGGAGAAATGTGGGCAAGGAGAAGCTGTCAGATATTTGATCAGAATGAAACTATAATCTATGGAGTGTCCAGCTGAGGTTTCTTCTCCATGGAGAAGTGAAGGTGTAGAATCAATAACTGCCTGTCTTCTGACTTCCTCCATTCTTTGAAAATGATCACAAGGGGGGAAAAAAACAGTAAATTTCCATGATCAGCTGGCAGAAGCTTCAATAGAGACTGCTTAGAAATCAAAATACTCAGTGTCTAGCTATTGCTGTGTAAGCCTTTTGTCATCAGAGAAGGTATAAGGGTTTAATGGGTTTACCCCTTAAATGGGTTTACAGAGATGCCCATAGTTATGCTATAGTTTTATTAGGTGAAGGAGGTCAACCAGTGAGACCCCACCACTAGCACTTTCAGGCCAGGGATGTAGGTCTGCATTCATCTGCATTGTTTCCTTTTACTAGTCACTGTGACTTTAAGTACCACTCATTTATATTCTCCCTAACTACCCTGTTTCTCTCACCTGTTCCGTGCCTTCAGCAGTGCTAACCCCACAGTCCCCTACCAGAAGTAGGGACAGAGAAGGCTCTCACCTTCAGAAAATGTTTCTGATGAACAATTGGGAAAGTTAACAGGAAAAAATTGAAGACACAGAAGCCTGTCCCAAGTGATGGTTTCAGTCACTGCCCACAGAATAAATGCACAATCATCCACCACTAATCAACAAGTCCTGGATGACTATTTTTTCCTTTTAAAAATAGTCTACTGTGAATAATGTGAATATCTGTAGACAGAGGCAGAAGAAAAAGTTATTTCCTTAAAACGTAGCTAATTTACAGTAGGCAGTAAACAGGAACAGCAGATTCTTAGAGCATTAGAAGCTATGAATTTTCTGGGGGTACCAAACATTGTGATAGTTGCAGTGGGCCAAGGGAATGTCATGGGGAAGGGTGTAGGTGCTCAGGACTGACATCTGGACATCCAGTAGACTGATGAATGAAGGACCAAACTCAGGTTTCTTCAAATGATAAATCTGGACTGTGAGCAGAAGTCCAATGCTGGAGGGAGACCAAGCTAGATTCCAGATCTGAACTGACTGAGTGTGCAACAGGATCACATTAATCTCTGACTGTTAGGAACTGACTGCTAGTTCTTGGTCTATAGGGCTGCTGAGTGAAACAGCAATGTGCAAAAATAAACTTATAAAACGCTGCGACACAAGTATCTTCAGGTCCTTTCAGTTCCAGCAATTGTCTCTTCTGTGGACATTTCCCACTTTATCTGCAATAAATATCAATCAGATATCACTCAATGGAGAGATTCTTGAAGAGCTTGGTGGAGGGGCGACGTGGACTCTTTTAGCATATGTTTCTTTTCAACTCAGGACCTCCAGCACCAAAAGTATGAATCTAGTCTGAGCTAAAGGATTATCCTCCAGAGCTGGTGGCCTTGGCTGACTCAAGTTGCTTAGGATGACCAGTGGCAAGAGCAACAATGATCCTCTTAGCCAGTACAAGAAATAAACATCTTTCATACCAATGTATGATCATTTCAGTAGTGACAGGAGCAGAGCTCTGAACACGCCCCCCTCCCCCCAAATAAACAAATGTTTTAAGAACAATCTTGCTGCTAGTTTACCTTACAAGTTGGATTCATATGCTGTATTTGTAAAAATTCCTGGTGCTCCCAGGTCACTAGAGAACAACCAAAACACAGTGGTATAAGCATGGAGTAAAAACAAGTGGCAGGGCCCCTAGCATGGGCCAAGGAAGTAGGGAACTAGTAGAGCTTCCTTAGCTCCTGCCTATGGTATTGCAGCCATACATGACTGCACATAAATATTGCACCTATGGGCATGTGGACACATGCAACAAAGTCATGGGAAGGTGGGGAAGAAATTGGGGAAGGGCAAAGTTGCTGTGTTACTCACACCTGAGTGCAAATTAGAGGAGCTGACTCACAAAACACATGGTTCTCACCTTGTGGGATTTAGGAGCTTCTTTTCTTCCTCTGTTGATAGAGTCAAAGCATCCATGGAATGGTGCAGAGACAAAAAGGAATAAACAGTTTTCATCAGTGACAGGGTGTGGAATAAAGCAGTATCTAACAGGCTGGAGTCTAAACAGGGCAGCAGACTTACACAGGGAGCCATCCAGGGCCTTCTGGGAGCAATTGTTAGAGAAGAGCTGAAGAAGAGCTAAACTGTAAGAGCTAAGGTATCTATGCCATAGTCATGGACAGCAGAACAGTAGGTAGACCCTATGCTGGAAGGGAGGGAAGGAAGTAAGAACTTGCTTACAGGGTCATGCCAACTGAGTCATGAGGCCTGGAAGGATGGACCTCTTGAGTGAGGTGATTGTTAGGATGTCCCAGTAGAGCAGAAAGCAGCTGAGAAGCTTCTCTCTCTCTGGAGGGTTTTTGTTTGCCCTCTATGAAAAGGATGCCAGATTAGCTCCCCTCTAAAAAGATGCTGTCAAAACTGGCAGTGCGAGGTGGATCCCCGACATAATCCATGAAGGCCCAATCCAGCAATAGCGCTCCACTCTTCTATGTCTCAGAAGTCTTTGGAAATCTTTCAAACTTCCTGGCAACAGCAACAGCATCTATTGTTCTACTGACTTCACTGCGGGTTGGGTCAGCCCTGTCCTCTTCACCTCTACTCTAAATTTCCTCAGGGCAAGGAGTCTTTTACTACACATACACATGTAGCACCCAGCACAATGGGGCCTGATCTCAGTGGTGACCGCAAGATATTCTAATTCTGAATTATAAAAGCCGTAGTCTGTCTGTCCATCCATCCATCTGTCTGGCCATAACCCTTTATTTGCACTCTGATTGGCTGTCTTGGCCGTGACAGTGGGGACCGAGGGGCTGGCCTCACCCCCCTGGGTCTGCTCCTTGGAGCCAGGGGCTGGCACCCGCCCCCCAACCACAGCCAGCAGGGAGGGGAGGGGAGGCGGCAGGGAACAGGGGAGGGAGGGAAGCAGGAAAGGGGGGTGTTACTGGTGGCTGCCCCCTGCCACAGCCGGCACGGCGACCGTGGTTGCGGGCCCTGGCCCAAAGTGGCCGGGGGGGAGGCAGGGAGCGGCCCTGGCCCTGGCCCAAAGCAGTGGGTGGGGATGGGGGGAGGTGGGGAGGGGCCCCAGCTCTGGCCCAAAGGGGAGTTGGGAAACAGCTCAGGCCCAGGCCCTGGCCTGAAGCCACGGGGGGTTGGGGGGAATGGCCCCAGCCCCAGAGCAGTGGGGGGAGGCGGGGAGTGGACCTCTGTCCCTGTCCGCCCCCCTTCCCCCCCCAGTCATTCTCGATGGGCAGTTTGCGAGTACAGTAAAGGCTGCATTATCTGGCACCTTAGAAACTGGCATGCTCCATTAACTGGCATGCCGGTTGACGTGGCAGAAGCAAAACCAGAAGTGCCTCCTGGGGCACTTCTGGTCTTGCTGAGCCCCCAGGGCCCGGGGGAAAGCAGTCTGCACAGGGCCCCGTCCCTCTCCCCCGGCCCACTGATGCCAGGGAGGGGTCGTGACGCACTGGACACGGAAGGAGGGGCAGTGGCCCCAACAGGCAAAGACACCTGTTCAGGCCTCTCGAGTAACCAGCATATTTGGTTATCCAGTCCCCCCCATGCCTCATGGGTGCTGGATAACAGAGCTTTTGCTGTACTGTAATATAAAAAAGAAGAACCACACTCTTGAAGTGCCAGGTCTAGTTAGAAAGTAAGCTGCCAAGGAGACATTTGGCTGAGGGTGGCAGTGTTGAGGCACTCCATGTTCATTCTCGTCCACCCATCCTGTAAGAAAACGTGTTTGCTTTACGGGCTGAGAAGCTGTTCTCTAACTGCTCCCTTCAGAAACCCTACTGGAACTCAGAAATCTGCCCATGGTCTTTCTGCCTCAGCCAGCAACATTGTTTTAGAAGGAAGTTTCTAGCCACGAGGAGCGCTGGGACAGATTAATCTAGAGAACTCATGGAAACTCCATCATTAGACATTTTTAGATGAAACTTGGCTACCAGGGTTCAGACAGGGATTGTCCTTCTCTTGAGCAGGGGTGGGACTTGATGACCTCCTGAAGTCCTTTCCAGTCCTACTCTGTGATTCTACCTATAACAAGACTGCTGCTGCCCTTGAATTTGGCATGTAAAGACAAAAACAGAAGTCCAAAGCTCTCTCCTAAAACTGTTCAGCATAGCAAAGTGCTTTTTTTTGGTCAGTTTGTAGAATGCAGACACACAGGGACCAGCTGTATGGAATAACAAGGTGTGCTCTCCTCAGCAATAACACGGAGGATATTCACAAGCCCAGGCCTTTTCTTACCTTTCTCACTGAGACGCTTGAGCAGCATAACTATTAGCATTCCAGACAGTAAGAGACCCACAGCTGCCATGGTGGAAGTACCCATGTAAAGCAGGATTTGCTTCATATGCGAAGCCGTCTTATCTGAAATGAATCACCAAACCAGCCTTTTAGGTCTGATGATTACTGGGTGGGATGGGGGGGAGTTGATATATAGTCTATATAGTCCTAGGTCAAGGCTGTCAACTGGTACCTTATGGGTTGCATGCAGTCTGTGAAGGATTAACAAGCACTTCCCCCTGCACCCTACCCCACCAAGCTGCCCATCTGGCTGCCACTCCCTCCATCATTTGGGCTGCATTAGCTGGGCCCTCTGTGCTGCACCTCCCTGCCTCTGCCTTAGGGGGCACAGTGTTGCAGCCTGCAGTGCTGTGGGAGCCCGTGGCCTGGAGCACCCATGCAGCACGGTACAGCAGGGGAGCCTGCAGTCAGCTAGTAAGGGTGAGGTTGAGGCATTAATACATGTAGGGCACATGGCCCCTGCTGGTGTGACCCATGTCAAGTTGGACAGAATGCGGACAGTCCTGGCCTAGGGAACTTATAGGCCAGAATTTTAGAGGTGCTCAAAGGTATAGATAGGCACAGTGGGATTTTCAAAAGCGCATCAGGCAGGTTAGGCACCAAACTTCCAGCCATTTCAATTATATATAAACACCTTTGCAAATTCTGCTAGGTACACATCAGCATCATTAGGCACCTGAATACTTTTACAAATCTTCCCCAAAGTGATTTGTATGTCTAAGTGATTTAGGTATTTAGGAGCCTAATTACCTTTAACTTTCAATGAGACTTGGGTGTTTTTATATGGCACAAAGCAGTGCTAAGCAGAGATTTGCACTCATTCTCTCAATGACTGGAAATGCCTCAGCTTTGACAGGACTGAGCGGCTCATTTCTTTATCATGCCTCGGCTTGACTGGGATCTACTTAGGGGCTTGTTCTGGAACAAACATGAACATGTGTAATGCATGTGGACAGAACCAGGATCCACACAAGTGGCTGCCACTGTTAAAATACAGACAGAAAGGGAAGGAAAGGAGCATGACTGTAGTTGCTAGGCCACTCACAGAGGCAAATGCTGTGTTCCAGTCCCAGTTCCAAGGACTGTTGGTGTGATACATTCAGTGGCATTGTCAAATAAAACAATAAAGTCCTTGGAACAGAGTCTTCATCTCTCAGGGAAGTACCTTGATCTCACAAAATAACTGCCTCAAGGCCTAGACCAAAATATAACCATGGGAAAATCATATCCTTGCCCCATGCTATTAATTACTTTAAAAGCTCTTGAGATAGAAGGCCTGTGGGTATAGACTATGGTAGGGAGTTTGCATCCTTTTAATCACCTAAACACACTCCCCATCTTTCCTGGATATGAAGGGGATAGTTTCATGCAGCGAAGCAAAGACATGCAGACACAGGAAGCCTGTACCTAGTGTTTTTCATGGAGGGGCACTACCAGGCTGTCCAAGAATGCAGTTCAATACAGGTTCTGGGCAGCTGCTGGCACAAAAACAGCCCATGATTGAAATAGTTATAGTTTATTAAAAAATTATTAGCATGATTTTTACAGCTTATGGGGAAAGAGGAAGAACCTACTTCTTTTCACAAAGTTTTCAAGCTGTATTTTGGTACAGAACCATTTCCTTTCCAGCACTGGCAAAGATCTAGCCTCCTATAGAAAGGGTGCCTGCTATCACACCTGCTACAGGAATAGTAGTGATTATGGTCTTTTCCAAAAGACTTTTGCTTCACAGCTGCTCCAGATCTCAGGAAGCTACTCCTGCAACTGCTGACTGAGGCACTGGGCTTGAAAGAGCTGCAGGAGTGGTGTAGTTCCCAGCCCCCTCTCCAATTAAGTGGTGGGGCAGCTAGCAGCAAGCTAGCTGCTAGCTACCACACCAGTGGAAAAGGTCAGGGGGCTGGGACCTGCCCCTCCCCTGCAGCTCTCTCCAAGTCCCCTGACCCTGACTGGGGAGCCAGGACCAAAAGCTCCCTGCTGCTGGGCAGGGGGACATTGTCCCTGCCTGGGCAGCAGGCAGCTCCCCTCTTCTCCCAGGGTAGGGTACAATGTCCCAGTTCTGGCCAGGAGACAGCTGTCTCCTGGCACGATGATCCCTGTCAGCCCCTGGGCTAGCACCTGGGAGGAGCCTAGAGCTCCCCCCACGTGGCAGCAGGGGCCCATTGTAGAGCCCCAGAAAGCTGAAACAGTTTGCTGCCATTAGCAGCAAATCTGTTTCTGCTTCCCTGCATGTGTAGACACCTGCCCAGGAACGTTTACTTGTGAGTAGTTTACTTGCAAGTAAACTGATCCTGGATCAAATGTACATGTAGACACATGCACTGAAATAAATATCCCTTGTTTGACTCAGGTACACACTAAGAAAGATTCACAGAAGTTTAGGGCTGGAAGGGACCTTGTGAGATCATCGGGTCCAGCACCACTTCTCTGGGCAGATCACTTTGAGCCTTTCAGCCAAATATCCTGACACACCATTTCCACACCAAGTGCCTTTTCTGACAAACATGGCAGCAGAAACAAACAACTTACTACATAAACTGACTGCAGTGTGCAATCAAACCAGAGCAGACATGTGCTGTACAGCCCTAATAAATCACTCAAATACAGGGTAAAGTTACATCCTGGAAAATGTGTAGTAATTTTACTATGTGGGAAAGCTACTGTGAAGAATGTATCATGTCTGCTCCCCATATTTGGTGGAGGCCAATCTTTTTGGTAGCTGCGCCAAAAATTAGCCCTACACTGTCCCTGAGTGCCACTCCATCTCTTATCCTGTTAGATCTGTTGTTCTGTTTTCTGCTTGGTGCCTTGTCCTCCATGACTGATCTAATACTCTGCTTTCTGTCCTATCTGCCATTGTGCTGCCTGTTCCCTCCCCAGTCTATCGCATGTCACATGCAGAGGCTACCCATGCACTTGTGTCACCCCTGCCTCAGGCTGGTCACCCCTGCCCTAGGCAATGGCATTTCATGGAGGACTTGTGCTCTGTTGGAACCAATTCCATTAAACCTAGTGGCCAAGGTCCATAATAGCACCTATATTAGCAATCCAGTTTGGGATTGCTAGCTTTGTGCCCACCCGTTACCAAAATGTACATTTACTATGGATTACAATTAGAGTAAATACTACACAGGAATTCTGTCAAGCGTCTTCCCCCACTGTGTCCTAAACCCAGGGGCTTGCCACAGGTGCTCTTGGTGCAAAGATGCTTTTTGCTTCTGGTTGATTTATTACAGGTCCATTGGTGGCCTCCTGTATTCTCCACTTATGATTATTCCTTAATGTCTGCAGCAGACCAGGCTCCAGTTAGGGTGGTACAGAGGCCACTGAGTTGCTCAGGTGGCAGTGGAGGGAGCAGGGATACGGAGAGAGGTGTTAATCCAAGGTTCAAACACTGTTTGTATTTGCTTTTGGTGTAATACAGATTTCCTTCACCAACCACTGGGGTTAGGTTCCTGAAAGTTCCTGTGGTTGGCAAAACTCTGGTTGGCAAGACAAAAGGCTTATGGGAAAAATAGCAGGTGGTGGGCTGATGCATGGCCATGGAAAACCATGGTTACTCTAAACTGTATACCGTGGTAGCCAAAACGGTATATAGAATATTAAGCATGGATACTCAAAACCATGGGTGGCAAAAGCATGGTTGGCCAGGGAAACCTGTAATGTTTCTATCTAAGGCCATCACTGACACGATTTCCTCAATGGTTTCAATCAGGGTCTGAGAAGCACTATGGCAAAACAGCTCTGCTGTCTCTACGCAATACTGTACCTTTACAATGTGGAGGACTCTCTGTCCAGGTTCCCAGGGCTGTACAATTAATTGCCTCTGGTCCCATCTGCACAAAGCCCATGTCACAGGAGAAGGAGCATGTGGAGTTATATGTGAAGTTTCCATGCAGATCAGAGCAGAGCATGTGGCCCCTGTCTGGGGCATCCAATGTGGGGCACCTGACAGCTGGAATGGTAAAGCAGAGCTCTGTAAGGCAGGAGTCTGGCCATGCTAAAGGCTGAAGTGCCAAGGGCCACTGTGCATTGGGGTATGCAGTGTAGAGGTTTAAGCCCTAGTGATGGGCTGCGAGTGCTCTATGGCATGGGTGCTGGGGGGGTGGCAGGGATGCAGAGGATCTGGTGACGGTGCAAATGATGTGGTCAGACATCAGGAAGCAGCTACTTGAAGAACTGGGTGGGTGAGGAATGGTGCTGATGTGTTAGGTGCCAGGGATATGGACTTGGGATTAGGGAAGGGACAGGGGACTAGTGGGCCAGGATGCGGGCTGCTCACTGTATTCAGGGAGAGGCTGATGGGGACAGGGATGGGTTGGCAAGGTTTGTAGTGTCAGGAGTTGCCATAGGAGGAGTTGTGATGCACCTGCTTTGTACCGGAGTAGCAGAGTCCACCTTGGCAGTAGACAGCTCCCGGGGGCAGGGAGCAATCTTCTGCCCCCTCGCAGATGGCTGACTGGGGGCAAATATGCTCTTAGTCAGTCATTTACATGCGTGCTACTGCACCAATTCTAATCAAAAGTAAATGTGCTACTTGCATTTGCAGGTAGCAAATTTATGCACAATTAGCAAGATTTAATGCATAGTAAGCATGTGCACATGTAGACACACATGCTTACTTAGAAGTAAACTACACTGTTGCACAGTTAAGCATCTTGTGTAGATGCGTCCAATGTGGGTTGACCAGTTAAGTGCCAGGAGCTGTTGACACAGAAGGTCAGTATATGCAGAAGGCTGCTCTGGTTGGGGATGTAAGGAGCCAGGTTATTCACTATGTTCAAGGGGAAGTTGAATCGGAGCAGGGATGGGACTGCAGGAATGAGAAATTCGGTGGCTGTTGTGCCAGGGTTGCAGGGCACTCACTTGTTCTGGTGAAAAGGACTCCTCCACTACAGGGATAGCAGTGATAATGTTCTTTTCCTAAAGCCTTCTGTTTCACACCTACTCCAGATCTCAGGAACCTAGTCCTGACTCCCGAAACTGTTGTGCACAACAACTCCCCTCCCCAGCACTGGCAAAAATCTTGGCCTCTACAGAAAGGGGCGCCTGATATAGCACCAGGTCCATGATACACCCTCCACACATCCCAATGTGAATGCTTTGCCCCTACCTTCGCAGACTGGAGGACTTCCTGTCCAGTTCCCCAGGGCTGTACATTCCAACGTCTTTGGTCCCATCTGCACAAAGCCAGCCTCACAAGTGAAGTCACATACAGAACTATACATGAAGTTTCCATGGACGTGAGAGCAATTTATTTGACTCCAGTCTGGGGCATTCAATGCCGGGCACTTGATAGCTGGAATAGCAGAGCAGAGATGTGTAAGGCAGGGGCCTGGAGGAAATGACGCTCAGAAATTCCACGTAGGGTTTAAGAAATACGAATATCATAAAACTTATCTGCAGAAGTACCTGGAAACCAAATCTAGTTTGATTTCTCAATTTTGTATTACAGCAAAGTCATTATGGGCTCATTCCTTGCACAGGGAATACATTCTAATCAGATATGGATGATGTATTTTTTGATTTACTAGAGCAGGCTTATGCAACATATGGCCTGTGGGCTGCCATGTGGCCCGCCAAGCCATTTTATCTGGCCCAAGGTGGTGGCACTGCCGCTGGTGAGGAGCGCAGAGCCACTGTCACCACAGAGCATGGAACCGGTGGCAGCAGAGGGGCAGCAGCGAGGCGAGGCAGGCAGGGCCAGCCCCAGCTGGCAGCGAGGGGAGGGGAGCTGCCTACACCCGCCGGGCCGGGCTCATCAGTAAGCCGGGTCCTGCCGCCGCTGCCCCGAGGAGAGACAGCAGTGATAGACTGCAAGGGTGGAAAGAAGCTGGCTGTGAAAAATGAATAAGTAGGAGACAGGAAAAGAGCAAAGAGGGACACAGAAAGACTGACAGGAAGTCATGGAAAAGAAATAGGTCAAAATTAGAAAAACCAAAAGTAAAACAGGGAAGAGAGGGGGAGGAAAGCAGGGGGAAAAAGGCCTAAGGGAAACAGGACAGTGGTAATAGCGCAGGGTGAGAGAGGCTCTGAAATAAAAAGGAAAAGGAGGAAATCAGGAAGACAAAAGGCAGAACAAATAGGGAGGAGGGGAGGAAAGGTTGGGGAAAAAGCAGAACATAAGAGGTGGGGTCAGGCAGGTGCCTGGTGATGAATCAGATGTCATGCAATGTCGCAGCTGGTAAAGCAAGCAAAACTCTGGCTTGCATCCATAGATGTTTCTCAAGCAAATCCCAGGATGTTATCCTCCCACTGTACTCAACCTTGTGAGTACTGCATCCAATTCTGGGCTCCACAATTTAAAAAGGATGTGGAGAAGCTTGAGAGAGTCCAGAGGAGAGCCAAGTGCATGATCAGAGGGCAGGAGAAAAGGCTTTATGATGAGAGGCTGAGAGCCATAGGGCTCTTCAGCCTGGAAAAGCACAGGCTCAGGGAGGACCTGGTAGCTGCCTATAAGTATATAAGGGGTGTGCATCAGGACCTGGGGGAGCGCCTGTTCACCAGAGCGCCCCAAGAGATGGACAAGGTCAAACAATCACAAACTCCTCCAAGACCATTTCAGGCTGGACATAAGGAAGAACTTCTTCAGTGTCCGAGCCCCAAAGGCCTGGAACAGATTGCCTCCAGAGGTCGTACAACCACCTACTCTGGACTCCTTTAAGAGACATTTGGACGTTTATCTTGCTGGGATCCTTTGACCCCAGCTGACTTCCTGCCCCTGGGGCAGGGGGCTGGACTCGATGATCTTCTGAGGTCCCTTCTAGCCCTAATGTCTATGAAATCTATGTCAGGCAGGTTGTAATGTGTCATAAATCCAACGTCTATGTCAAGTCTGTGAAATATTGAGTCTGTGAAAATAAAAATAAGCATCTGTATAGGTTTTATTTTTTTATTTATTCAAAACATACCACCAGGATGGGAAAAGAGGATGCAAATGCGGGAACCAGGGAACCAATCTCCCCACCCCACAACTGCATTACAGGCAGTAATGCCAGCTCTGCTCTGCGGAGCTTGTAAGGGAAGCCTTGCACTGGGCAGAAGGGAAACCCCCATGAGACCCCACATAGCTGTGGCAGGGTCCCAGGCAGGCTCGGGGGAGCGGGTAAAACCCAAAGGGCAG